TACACATATTAGGGCCAATTTAGACAGGATCCACTTAACCTACCAGCATGTCTTTGGAGTGTGGGAGGAAACCGGAGCACCCGGAGGAAACCCACGCAGGCACAGGGAGAACATGCAAACTCCATGCAGGAGGGGCCATGGTCGGGAATCGAACCCATGACCCATTTACTGCAAGGCAGACGTGCTAACCACTAAGCCACTGTGCCGCCCAATATGCATTTTGCAGGCCTCAAAAACTGCCCGATAATCCATACATGTAATGAATTGGAGCAACTGACAAGGCCAGCTTTTCTCTACCTACTGTCTGTGTATGAGCACCTTAGAGGAAAACATCAAGTCAGCAATGATTTCCTATCACATTTATTAAGTGTATAAATACATGTGTGTATGGTTGGTAAGATTACATGTCCTCATGGTCTTATGAATCCCTACTGAGTTTCACCATATTCACTTATGCCATGAAGAATTTATAAGATATGTAAGTCTGTTACTGTCATTACCCTAGAAATTCTTCATTCATGCTGTTTGTAAGTACAGGTACTTCCACAAACCCCTAGCTTTTCCTGCAATAGGATAATGGTCTCTAAATATAGAGACAGGTAACGGTTTAAGCAAGGGAAGGCAGGGTCTATTCTTGACTTTCTCAGCAAATATATTAGTTTGCATACAATCCCAAACTGCAAACAGTAGCTAAAGCCCAGTACACACGATCAGAAAACTGATAAAAAAATACCGTTGTCAAAGCAATCGTACTATAATATGATTGATAGCACACAGCTTTTGTCCAAAATTATTTGAAGGGACAAGCACGAAAATGTTTCTCGTACGATACCAGATTGTACGATTTTCACTTAACCACTTCAAGTCCGGACACTTTTTCCCCCTTCCTGTCCAGGCCAATTTTCAGCTTTCAATGCTATCACACTTTGAATAATTGCGCGGTCATGCAACACTGTACCCATATGAATTTTTTAGCATTTTTTTTGAGACAGATAAAACTTTATTTTGGTGGTATTTATTCACCACTGGGATTTTTATTTTTTTTGCTATGTAAATGAAAAAGTCCACAAATTTTGAAAAAATTGTTTTTCTTATAAAATTTTGCAAATAAATAATATTTCATCATAATACTTGGCCAAAATTTATTCCGTTATCTTTTTAGTAAAAAAAAAAAAAAATAACCCAAATTAGTTTATAACCAAAAATTATCATTTTTTAAACATTTTTTTTACATTTTTATTTTATTTTTTATATTATTATTTATGTTTTGTTTTTTTTTACATACTGTCACCCTAGCAGTACAGTGTCACCATGGTCACCATGGTGAAACTGTACTACTTGTGTGGGGGGGGTTGAAGATTTTTTTTTTTTTTTTTCACTGATTGCTTTTATACCTATAAAGGCTGTAAAAGCAATCATTTCTCCTTCTCTCTGGCTGCATTCTTGCAGCCATCGAGAACTACTGTGTGAGCTGTGATTGGTTACAGCTAGTCACATGGTACAAGGCTGTTGTGAATAGCCTTGTACCATGTGACCTCTGTGATCATTCACAGATTTCACACATAGTAAGCAATGATGTCAGAAGTGACATCTTGCTTACTACTCTGCATGTGATCACTGATTGGCCAATCAGTGATCACATGATCGGGACCTTGCACAGAGGTCCCATACGACAATCGGTGCTCCACTGTGCCCGGAGGACACAGCGGACACCGGATCGCGGTGCTGCGCACTCCCAGGGAGCGTGCACAAGCAGGGGGCAGGGAGGCCATTTATAAACGGCCACCCGCCCTTGCACTGCCACCGTCCGGCCATTTATATACAGCGGCTGGAGGGAGGTGCTTAACTGGTACAGTTTTCGTCCGAAAATACAATACAAAACTTCTAAATTTTCTTTTTGTCGTACAAGAATTTTTGTAACTTTAGTAACCTCTTCAATTTCGATATGAGACTAGCATGCAAAATAAACGAACGATCATTCATCCAATATTCTCATTGTGTATACGGGGCTTTAGTGGCTCAAACTAGGCACTCCACAAACACCATATACTGAACTAAACTGACGGCTCCAGGATATTCACTGTTTGGCCTGCCCATCGACCAAGCCACCCTGGGTCACCCAACAGATATACATGTCACAGATTCCCGTTCACTTACATGAAAGGCTGTCCATATTGGACAATGGCCTTTCACTGCAATGCAGGAGCCCATGGTTTAGAAGTGACACACTTATTGGCTGAGGAAATTTAAAAATGCCTGCAGCATTGAGCAGGTCACAGAATGAATCCTCCAAAGGCCAGAATTTCAGGTAAGTATATGCTATTAACAAAATGCTTAGCACAGGGAAGAATAAATGCATTAATGGTGCATTTTTTTTCTTTATATAATAGTAAACACAACTGAAAATATTATCAAATTACATATATCTGGAATACCAATGGCAGGTAATGGGAGCACCACATCCTACGCATACTATTAAAACATGTACTTTTGAGTTTTGAGGTGCCCCAAAGAGAACCACAGTACAGAAATAACTTTATTACTACAAAATGCTAAGCTCAGACACATATAAGAATTTACACATATAGTATATATAAAAGAAACGGCATAGTCAAACTCCCTTTCTATAATTAAATATTCACCACCATCCACTGCTAATAGAACACTCCTCAATATGGGGTAACAAATCCTCTTAGTATCTATTCCAAGCATAATAATTATACACACAGTTGTTCTGCTTTCTTCAACTATGCGTTTTACAGAAATTGGTACTGCTTCCTCAGAAGGATACAATGTAGAGAGGTCAGTCACTGTTAGGCCGGCCATACATGGGTCGATTTTCAAAAGATTTTTAGTTCGAAAATCGGACCTAAGAAGAATCGGACAATTTTCGCTCTGTTATTAGGGCAATGGCACCGGCCGATTTTCGTGGTTCCTCCCCATTTCGTTTATTGGACATGCTGCAAAATTTGTGAAAAACGACTGATTCTCGAAATCATTGGTGGCACCATCGGATTATTATTATACAGGATTTATATAGCGCCAACAGTTTGCTCAGCGCTTTACAATATAACGGGAGACAATACAGCAACAATACAGTTCAATACAAGAGCGAAAGGAGGGCCTGATCCTGGGAGCTTACAATCTAAGATGGAGGGGCTGGTGGTACAAAAGGTAATAACTGTGGGGGATGGACTGGTAGGAGGAATAGAACATTCCATTATTAGCTGAGACAGGGGCGGACTGACAACTCATGGGGCCCCCGGGCATCAGGGGATCATGGGGCCCCTGTGTCCTTGCCCAAACTCAAAAAAGCTTATGAAAAAGGTACCAGGGGCATCTCATGGGGCCCCCTACTGACCCCGGGCCCTCGGGCAGTGCCTGAGTTTCCAAATGGTCAGTCCACCCCTGAGCTGAGAGGATTACAGAACGAACAATGTTTTAGATTTTCGATCCAAAAAATTGTTCAGAATTCGACCCATGTATGGCCTGCTTTAGTGTCCCTAATTTTAAATTTTGTACTGTGGTTCTCTCTGCGGCATCTGAAAAGTCAATTTGCTGTGGGGATACAAGGTTTTGGTATTACGTGTAGGATGTGGTGCCCCCATTACCTGCGCCTGGTATCTCAGATGTTTGGCACAATGGAAGATAAATGCATTTTGAGATAAAATGGGGTAAACTAGCCCTTGGCAGCTCTTGGTAGGTATCAAAAAAATCTTTATATTTCCAACATGGTCCTGCAAATATGCTTTGCTTTTTTCCCTGAATCTGGAGCCGTTCTTCAAAAATTTATAGCAGACTGTTCGTTTTATGCTGTCATTAGTGATGTTGCAGTGGTTAACCTCTATGGCCATGCAAGAGTACAAAAGTGAAAAAACAATAATAAAAAGTCCCAATCCAAAATAAAAATAAAAATATCCTATATTCAATGTGCTCCAAAGAAATAATGACTTGCCACGTGCAGAAGAAACTTCAGTGTATTAACACCATCCGTGATAACCAACATATACTGCACTCACCAAATGTAATGGACTCTCAAAATCTTAAGAGTTAAATACGCTTTTGGTTATTAAATATCCTGCCAATAGGGACTTCCACCGTTCAGAAGGATGCTCCAATAGTAGGATTTCCCACACAATTTGATCAATATAAAAAAGAAAAGAACAACTACAATCAACAGATTTAGTTTTTTTTTTGGTCATGCCCCAGGCCAGTGATGGCGAACCTTTTTGAGCCCGAGTGCCCAAACTGCAACACAAAACCAACTTTTTTATTTCAAAGTGCCAACACTGGAATTAATCACTTGCCTACCGGGCACTTCTACCCCCTTCCTGCCCAGGACAATTTTCAGCTTTCAGTGCTGTTGCACTTAACAATGACAATTGTGCGGTCATGCAACACTGTAACCATATGCAATTTTTATCATTTTTTCACACAAATAGAGCTTTTTTTGGTGGTATTTAATCATCACTGGGTGTTTTATTTTTTGCACTATAAATGAAAAAAGAGCAAAAAATTAAAAACATAAAAGGTTTCCTTTGCTTCTATTCTAAAATTTTGCAAACAGGTAATATTTCTTCTTTGATGTGCGTTGGTGAGGCTGCACTGATAGGCAGCACTGATGGGCATTGATGAGGCGGCACAGATAGGTAGCACTGATGAGGCGGCACTGGTGAGCATTGATGAGGAGGCACTGATGATGCACTGATATGCAGGAAATGATGGGCATTGATAAGCGGCACTGACTGACGGCACCAACTAGAGGCACTGACAGATGGCACTGACCGGCGGCACTGCTGGGCATCATTGATGGGTAGCACTGATGGGCAGCACTAATGAGGTGTCACAGATAGGTGGCACTGATATGCGGCACTGATTGGTGGCACTGATAGGCGACACTGATAATGGGTACTGATAGACAGCACTGATAGGTGGCACTGACTGACATCACTGCTGGGCACTGACTGGCGGCACTGCTGGGCACTGACTGGCACAACCGCTGGGCACTGACTGGTGGCACTGACTGGCAGCACTGCTGGGCTGCACTGATGGGTGGCACTGGTGGGTGGCACTGCTGGGCACAGGTGGGTTGGCACAGGTGGGTGGCATTACTAGGCACAGGTAGGTGGCACTTCTGGGCACAGGTGGGCACAGGTGGGTGCATTGCTGGGCACAGGTAGGCGCACTGCTGGGCACAGGTATGTGCATTGCTGGGCACAGGGGGCGGAACCTGTGTGTGACACTGCTGGGCACTGATCATCAGGGCACTGATGATCAGTAACCCTGATGATCGGTGCCGTTCCCTGCTCTGACAACTGCCGGTTTTCGGCAGTACTTTCCTCACGATCTGATAGCGTGAGGAAAGTGTCATTGGACACGGCTGATCACGTGGTAAAAGGCCGCTGTGATTGGCCTTTTACCACGTCACATGATCAACTGTGTCCGTAGAACACAGCGATCACGGAGATAGCCTGGTGCGCGCCCCCGGGGGTGCGCAGGAGAGCGCATTCTTCCTCTTCTTCCTGGCGTGCCCACTGAGATGGCTCTGCGTGCCAGCTCTGGCACGCGTGCCATAGGTTCGCCATCACTGCCCCAGGCCATCTGTTGATTGTAGTTGTTCTTTTCTTTTTTATATTATTATTATTATTATTATACAGGATTTATATAGTGCCAACAGTTTGCACAGCGCTTTACAATATAAGGGAGAAAGTACAATTACAATACATTTCAGTACAGAAGGAATGTGAGGGCCCTGCTCGTGGAGCTTACAATCTAAAATATTGATCAAATTGTATGGGAAATCCTTCTATTGGAGCATCTTTCTGAACGGTGGAAGTCTCTATTAGCATAATATTTAATAACCAAAAGCGTATTTGACTCTTAAGCTTTTGAGAGTCCATTACATTTGGTGAGTGCAGTATATGTTGGTTATCACGGATGGTGTTAATACACTGAAATTTCTTCTGCACGTGGCAAGTCATTATTTCTTTGGAGCACATTGGATATAGGATATTTTTCTTTTCTTTTTCTTTTGGATTGGAACTTTTTATTATTGTTTTTTTTCACGTTTGACTTGGACATTTTTATTTTATGTATTTTATTTCTGTTTATTTATTTATATAATTGTTTGCGCTGTGTTTTTTTTATATATATTGTTTTGTTTGATTATTTGTCAACAATGAGCAGTAGCATTGATTTGGGAATTTAATATAATTTTTTGGCTGCGCAGGTTTTTTTGTTGAATATTAAGAATGCAAAAGGCTCACAGGTCACTGTGCGCATGTATTCCGGCTTTCGCAAAATCTGTAAAGACCACTTCCGCATTTTACAAAGTGGCACTCGCTAAGACTGCAGATCACTCCACCCCCACGTTTCTCCCTCTGTATTGTTCACTGCGCTGCAAGAATAATATACAGCAGTTAGACATGACAAGCAAACCAATTGTGGCATTTCTCTAAAACAAATGCATTCCATCTGCAAATGGCCCACAATAAATCCAAACACAGGAACTAGGTCATTACAGGTTTGCTGCCGCAACAAACGTAGCCTGTTCATCCCCTCAAAGTCCATATGTTCGAGCTTGAAAATCCATATGTCCAAGACGCTTTGTTAGAATACACACTATGAGTGAACACAACCTCAGCCATATTGAAGCAAAACATATTCTTCGTCTATGTCCCTCGGGAGTCTCAGAATAAAGTCGAGCCAATTGCAGTGCCCCGCTAATGGCTGTACTGCTTTCTGGTTGCAGGGCCTGTTCATCAACAAGGACTCCTAGGTTCAATTTACTGAAAGGGACTTTAAACCTAAAACATATGCATCCCTCCTTACAATAACAAGCGGCTTCCAACACTCACATTTGTTCATGGGGTACATCCCATGCTTTGAAAGAAACCTGAGAATGATTTACTGATGTAATACATTCATTACACTGTTAATAATTACAGTGAAACTGATTGCATCTTATGGCTTGTATGGATCAACTGCTTAAAGGCTAAAGGTACCAGGAGACCCGGGATAATTACACCTTGCCACATACAGTTCATGGAGGGCACAATCATTCATTCAGCCAGCGGCACCATGAAACTTCAACACAACACGGATGATGTAGTACAGGAGTAGAGCAGTGTCTCGCAACATGCCTTCAATCATGGCACACTTTAGGAGTATGTCAAATCGTGAGACCCCCCCCCCCCCCGCCCCCCAGGACCAAAATGGAAGAAACTTAAATGTTTATTTATCCATTGGAAACCTGAGCATGGGACAATGCACACAAATGCTCTAAAGAAATTCACTTCACATCAGAAGCCCCCCTTCACATCAAAAATCCCCCTTCACATCAGAAGTCCCCCTTCACTAAAGAACCCCCTTCACATCAGAGCCCTCCTTTACGTCAGAGGCCTCCTTTACATCAGAGGTCCCCATTCACATCAGAGGTCCCCCTTCACATCAGAGGTCCTCCTTCGCTAAAGAACCCCCTTTACATCAGAGCCCTCCTTTACATCAGAGGTCCCCATTCACATCAGAGGTCCCCTTTCACATCAGAACTCCCTTCACATCAGAACTCCCTTCACATCAGAGCCCTCCTTTACATCAGAGGTTCCCATTCACATCAGAGGTCCCCCTTCACATCAGAGCCCTCCTTTACATTAGAGGTCCCCATTCAAGGTCCCCATTCACATCAGAGGTCCTCCTTCGGATCAGAGGCACCCCCCTTCACATCAGAGGTCCCCCTTCATATCAGAAGCCCCCCTTCACATTAAAAATCCCCCTTCACATCAGAAGTCCCCCTTCACATCAGAACCCCTTCACATCATAGGTCACCTTCACATCAGAGCCCCTTTCACAACAGGGTCCCTCTTCACATCAGAAGCCCCTTTCACATCAGAAGCCTCCTTCACATCAGAGCCCCATTCACATCAGAAGCCCCTTTCACATTAGAAGCCCCTTTCACATTAGAAGCCCCCCCCCCCTTCACATCAGAGCTCCCCCTTCATATCAGAAGCCCCCTTCACATCAGAGTCCCCCTTCACAACAAAGCCCCCCCTTCACATCAGAGGCTCCCTTTCACTTTAGAGCATCTTTCACATCAGAGAACCCCTTCAGAAGCTCCCTTCTCAACAGAGTCCCCTTTCACATTGGAAGTACCCCTTCACATCAGAGCACCCCTTCACAACAAAGTCCCCCTTTACATCAGAGACCCCTTTCACATCAGAAGCACCCCTTTCAGAGGTCCCCCTTCACATCAGAGCCCCTCTTCACATCACAAGCTACTTATCACATCAGAGCCTGCCTTCACATCAGAAGCCCCCCCCGTCACATCAGAGCCCCTCTTCACATCAGAGCCTCCTTCACAGCACAGGCCCCCCTTCACACTGGAAGCCCCCTTCACATTAGAGCCCTTTTCACATTAGTAGTACCCCTTCACATCACAGCCCCCCTTCATATCAGAGACCCCTTTTACATCAGAAGCACCCCTTCACATCAGAGACCACCTTCACATCAGGGCCCCCTTCACAGCAGAGCCACACCTTTCCCATCAGAGGTCCCCTTTTACATCAAATCTTCCTTTCTCATCAGAAGCCCCCAACAAATCATAGGTCCCCCATAATGTCAGAGATGCCCCTATCAAATCAGAGGCCTGCCTGCACCATGGCAACAGAAGGCTGCCTGCTCCAGGGAAAACTAGGCCCTGTGTTTGCAGCACCCCAGGGGAACTACAGACAGCACCCCACGGGAACTACAGACAGCACCCCAGGGGAACTACAGACAGCACCCCAGGGAATTGCGCACCTTGATTGAGAAGCACGGGAGTAGAGAATGTTAACTCAGCTTAGTGAATAAGGTGACACTATGGTCACTTCAATCATCCAATCATGTGCAAACAAAAATCCTGCTTTTTAAAAAAAATGCCCTTTTACACAATTGAACATTCAGAGTGAATATAATTTCACTTTATCCACTAAGCTTACCAAACATTGTCCTTTAGTAGATGAGCCCCAAAGAGCATGTCAGTGTTGGCACCATTGCGATCAGCGGGGGATCTATGAGCTGACTGGAGCAGAGCGGGCGGATGACACATCCGGGTCCACCTAGTACCTGCAGAGTGGACATGGACAGAGCCTGCTTTGCTCTATGGGTGGCCAGAAGTAAACAGATTCCGCTGTCCGTTTACAACCATCTACTTCCAAACTGTTCCGCCTAAACTGAAGAAGATGGAGTCCTCTCCCTTTTTTTTTAGCGGGCCCAACTGGACCCAGACATAGTTGGGTGTAAATGGGCTGTCTGATTACACCTGCCTCTCCATTGGGATGAATGGACCTTCCGACCAGGTCTGCCTGAAAAACTGACAGGTGGATCTGATCAGAATGTGAAAGGGGCCTAACCTAAGGCTGGCCATACATTATACAATTTTCTTGAGATTTTTGGTTTAGATTTTCCAAAAATCATATAATAGGAGGTCAAACCTAACAACATTTCATTGTATCCAATTTGGCAGGCTCTTGCACTACATAGTTGAAGGTAAATCTAAAGGAAATTAGGCAGAAATTGGACAGAAAATTGTATAGTGTATGGCCAGTCTTACTCAATCACTGGACCAAACTCTTCACCACAACATAGAGAACATTTCAATGAGCACATATTTTGAAGTATTAATGTCGTTTTGATATAAATGCTTATACAAGAGTCACCTTTATACAAGCTTGCTCTTTCTCAGCCACAACAGGAGTGTGTTTAACCCCTTGCCCTCTTGAGGATTTACCCCCCTTCCTGAGCAGACCATTTTTTGCGTTATGGAGCCGCGTTACTTTAACTGACAATTGCGCGGTCGGGGTTCATGCAACGCTGCACCCAAATGTAATTTATGTCCTTTTTTCCCCACAAATAGAGCTTTCTTTTGGTGGTATTTGATTGCCTCTGCTGGGTTTTTTTTGTGCTATAAACAAAAAAAAAACAACAATTTTGAGAAAAAATAAATTTTTGATGTTTTGCTATTAAATATGTCAAGTAAAAAAAGTTAGAAAATCAAAATTTTGTCATAAATTTAGGCCAAAATGTATTCTGCTACATGCCTTTGCCAAAAAAAAGTCCCAATATGTGTAAATTAATTGCTTTACTTGAAAGATATAGTGTCTACAAATGGTGGGTATATGTACTGAGATTTGTTCAAAATTTTTTTCACTAGTAATGGCGGCAATCAGTGACTTATGGTGGTGGGGGAACATAGGGGTGCTTGGGCAGCAGAGGGAAATGTATGGTGCACAGGGAGGGTGATGGGTGTGGTGAGGGGTGCAATTACTGGACCTGATCCCCTGTATGGCTCTCTCTGCAGCAGCTGAAAGCCAGCGGGAGGGAAAAGAGAAACCAGCTTTCAACTGCT